AAAGAGGGAGAGGCACAAGCATGGGGAGGGGCAGAGGGAGAGGGAGAAGCAGGCTTCCTGCCAAGCAGGGAGCCCGACGCGGGACCTGATCCCAGGACTCTGGGATCATGACCTGAGCCGAAGGCAGACGCTTAACCGACTGAGCCACCCAGGCGCCCATGGTTGATTTTTTTAGTGGGTCCATAGCAGTGTTCAGTGTAGAGCCGATTATTCTCCACTTCTGAGGTAACACCTTTCTGAGTACTCTCCTGAATTGAGTTTTTTCCAAACTGGCTGATAGAAACAGGCACTGTTCCCAACCCTGGGAGAGTCTGGGCACTGTTCCCTCCAGCCTTGCAGATGGCTCTTTTCCCAACCTTGGGTAGTTTCCTCACATATACATGCTGATCATTTCTGTGCTGAACACCCAGAGAGGACTCTACAGATCTCCTGAATCCTCTCTATGTGTATCTCTTTTTCTCTCTCTTTTTTTTTTTTTAAGATTTATGTATTTATTTGAGAGTGAGAGAGAGAACATGAGCCAGAGAAGGAGCAGAGGGAGAGGGAGAGAGAATCCTCAAGCAGACTCCCCCTCCCCGCTGAGTTCGGAGTTTGACACAGGGCCCGATGCCAGGACTCTGAGATCATGACCTGAGCCAAAATCAAGAGTCAGACGCTCAACCGACTGAGCTCCCCAGGCGTCCCTATGCTTCTCCTTTCTTTCTCATACTCTGTCCTGTGAGCTCTTGTCTCAGTCTCCCTGAATGCTCAGGTCTGTCCCCTCAACTCAGGGAGTCCCACTCCTGGAAATGCAGCCTGAAAACTCTATTGAAATGGCAGTAAGCTGAGACAACAGTAGGGCTCACATAGTTGGTCTCCCCTTCTTTCAGGGATTGCTAGCCTTTACTAGCTGATAGCCAGTGTCTAGAAAACCACTATTTCATCGTTTTGAGGTTTTTGTTTTGTTTTGGTTTGGTTTTTGGTTTTGGTTGTTACAAACAGGAGGTCCAATTCCTGTTATTCTATGTGGGCTAGAAATGGAAATAGTCCATAATTTTTTAACGGATTCTTAGTATTCTACTCTATAGGTGTGCCCCCTACATATATCAGTCCCCTACTGATAACCTATTTTCATAAACAGTGCTGCAGACTCTGTACGTATGTCCTGGAGCCTTTGTAAGAGTCCTTAGAGAAAATCTTATCTATGGAATTTCTGGGCCCTAGAGTTTGTGCATTTACATTTCAGATATATTGTTTACTTGCCCTGCAGTGATACTTCTACCATCGGCAATGGGCCAATGATGGGACAAACTTTATATTTTATTTATTTTTTTTTTTTTAAAGATTTTATTTATTTATTTGAGAGAGAGAGAATGAGAGAGAGCACATGAGAAGGGGGAGGGTCAGAGGGAGAAGCAGAC